AATTTACATGACCTAAGATAATTTTCTATACATAACATAATGCTATAGCCATAAAAGTAAAGTTTTCGTACATGGTCCTAATTCGATGGTCAGAGACTGCACAAATAATTTTTTAACATTTTTCCCTCGAATGCTATCGTAAAAAGTACAGAATAAAACACGTTACAATTGCAATTATCCAGCACGCGAACCTTCGTTTCTCCATTAAAAATTTCAATTTGTTACCTTTGTAATGAAATACAATATCAATGGTATTGCAATTTTCCTTTGATCTTCTATCGTTCATTCAATCGAATGAAATTGGTGTCGGTCGCTGATGATTCTCCTTAAAGTCAATGCATCGGCAGAAGTTTTTACATCTATTTTAATTATAATATGTAATATCGAGATTTGTAAAAGGTGTTGGCACCGAAATACTATAGTTTTCAGCCAACGGCCATACTAGTCAGGATATACCGGTTCTCGTCCGATCACCGAAGTCAAGCTGAGTTGGGCGCGGATAGTACTTGGATGGGTGACCGCTTGGGAACTCCGCGTGCTGTTGGCTTTTTTTTATTTTTTCTTCAATAAAAATGTATTAACTATTATTCAATACAAATTTTCATTTATTCAATCTTAAGCACATCTACAGACGAATTGAATTATTAGCTTGAATCAAATGTTCCTACTGTTTTCTTCTAGGAGAAGGTAGCTGTAATTAATTATGATTATCATTGGTTTAATTAGCATAACCTATTGTAAACTTGATAGTTTACATTTCAATGTTAATTTAAATACAATTTTATGATGTTTGATATCAATGTTAAATTAAATATAATTCTATGATGTTTGACATCAATGTTAATTTAAATACAATCCTATAGCACTTGATACTGATGTTAACAAATGTGATCAATGCGTCAACTGTTTGCAAGAGTATTAACAATACAACATAAATTTGCAAAAGTATTTAAAAACAAAATAAATCAATCACACTATAGTTTTATACAAACAAATCAATTACACTCTGATTAATAATTGAATCATCGAATGATTGTCTATATTTCTTCTCTCAGACACTAAAAATATAAAAATGTTTCGCAAATCACCACAGAAAAGTAAACGGCGCATTCGAGACATTGATCATAGTCTCGAACAAAAAATCAATAAATTTTCGATGTAGAGTAGGCTGAACCAGTACCTGCACAACAATACTCCTGTCGATAAAGTATTAAAGACTCGTTCCTCTTCTCACTTGATTTATTCGCTAAACTTTGACCATTCAACATTAAATACCTAGTTACGGTAATTGCACGAAACATCAATCACTAACTTCCTACTCAAACAGGTCAAAGCAATTAACGTTTTATAGTGAATATAGTTTCTGCGAAAAGTTTAGAAACAAAGCAATTACTCACTATCTTGGCCAACTGTCTTCTTACAATTTAATTTTAGAAACAGTATCAATATTTTCTTAGGGCTTCCATTTAAGAGTAGAAAATATATTATAGTTTTTACAGATTAATTTCAGGGTCAAATTGATTAACTCCAGTAATAGTAATTAGGAGCATCATTGGGATAAAGGGAATACTTTATTCTCTGCAGGTTGGGTGAAGTGGAAAACTTGAGAGATTTAAGATTTTAAAGGAGGACATCTTGGAGGATGTTACGGATGGGTGACAATAAGTTCAAATGTAGGACAATCCTCTCTATAATAGTATGAGTATTGATACTTCAGTCTACGGCGATATAATAGAAGCTGCTTTCACTACTAATCTTCCATGTTCTCACAATGCAGTTGTCAACCTTTCAACTGTCTGCATTGTGACTATAAATCTTGCAGCTAACTTTGGATTGTTAATCTTCCAAGTACCAAACTTTTAAATGGCACTCTTTAAATTACAAATCTTACAAGTATCGTTCTTCAAACTGACAAATAAGTCTGAATTTTACGGGTGGTAGTGTTTGAATTACTAATGGATCTGCAGCCCAGGTGCGTCACACAAATTTTAATGTGTATTTAACATTCCGAATACGTTAGGTAAATTAAGTACATACCTAAGATATGTATTAGAAGATATATGTAGAAGATATGTATTATTTGTGGCATAGTAGTAGCTTTATGTATACTTAATATATGTAGCATTAATATAGCATATACATATGAAGGTATAGCACAGTAAACATATTACATCCAATTACAGTTTGTGTTTCAAATTTCCATCTACAAATTATGCTCAATAGGAAGCTGTTTTTAGCATTTGAGGTTATGGTTACACCTAGTTTTATCAGATACTCTGATACCAATATTGATGATCTTTGTGATTATGATGCGATGATACACCAGTGGATCTACAGACCAGATGCCTCACGCGAATTCGAATGTATATTTCAAATTTCGAGTACCTACAGTAGACATACAGGTAGAACAAGAATGAGATTTTAAAGTCGTTCCAAACGATTAAACGTGTTTGAAACTATCGAAAACGATACCAAACACGATTATTCTTGATTTCCCGACGACCCACGTCAATGATGACCAAGTATTGTTGTCGACGATGAGTTATAGAACTTTTAACGTGCTTCCAGTCGATTCTGTGTGTCAAAAATTATCGAAAACGATACCAAACGGTTTTTTATCGATTCGAAGATCGACGTCGATTACGACAGGTTGCTGTCGGTAGATCGCCACCAAAAGCTATACAGCAAACTTAGGGTGTCTTAGGAGTCTACCCTAAAAATTTCAAGTGGAAAGACACAAAATTGCCTGTGGCGTGGTAAAGACAAACGAACAAATACAAATCGAAACAAAGACAATCAACCGCTGAAGTTTTTCAAGTTCTCATTCCTTAAATATGTAATTTCTAAATGTTGAAGTATTAATTATTATAATAGTTCACGTTGGTAATTGTCAACCTTACAAATACCAACCTTGTAGTTACTACACTTTCAAATACTAATTTCCCAAACCAATTATGCAACTTGGTATTTGTAATTAAACTTGCAAATACCAACCTTGTAATTACTAACTAACCAAATACTAATTTTCCAAGGACCAATTTTGCAACTATTAATCTCTTAAGTACCAGCCTTGTAATTACAACCATTCGAATATCGATTCCATAGGTGCCATGTTCGAAATCATTAATCTGCCAATTACCAATCTTGTAAGTTTCAAATTTCCAAATATCAATTGTCCAAGTGAAAGTATTAAAAATAATTGTCCAAGTGAAAACCTTCCAAATACCAATTGTATAAATTTTAACTTTATGAGTATCAATTTCTTTCAAATTTGTACTTTGCAAGTAGCAACCTTACATATTCTAACATTTCAGCTAGCAACCTTCCAAATATCAATATTTCAAGAATTAACCTTCTTAGTAGCAACCTTCTTGCTATTATGTACCTTCAAAATATCATTCTTGCCATTACTAATCTTCCAAATGTCAAATATCCATGTATCAACCTCCCAAGTGCAAATCTTATGCATACCACTTTTCCAAATGTGGACACTGCAAGTATTAACCTTCCATGTTATAACTTTTTATTCATCAACCTATCAAATATCAATATTGCCAGAATCAACCTTTTCAATGTCAACTTTCTTGCTATAAATTGTCAACCTTCCAAATACTCTTATGTCCAAATATAATATATCTCCAACTATCCTTGCTAATTGTCTCTTACATAAATCTACTCCTTGCATAGAGTAACAAATAATAAATAACAAATAGCAATATATTTCCAAGTATCCTTGCTAATTGTCTGTTATATAAATCAACTCCTTACAGTAACCTAATATTCTCTTACTTACTAATTTTCTTAAATCATCATCTTACAATAACAAATACAGAAGCATCAAAATATCAACATGACCGTCTACATACATAAGACACTGTATCAGCACCTAAACATCAGAAGTACACGCAAATTTGTTTACCCGGTTTAAATTTATCGGATGCAGCTTCATGTACGTCTCGTATGACTGTGTTACAATTGACCCAGTCACCGTTCGAGAGGCACTCGAAGCTCGCGGAATGCGGGTGTCGATGGAACAATTCGCAGTTTTCAGCCGTTTAGCTCGAAATAACAGGAATCTTCAGTTAACAAATGGTGTACTGGGTTTCCGTTCAAACACAACATCGGGAAAATTTCAAGTGAAACGCAAACGGTCTATGTACAGACGGACGTACTCTGGTGGAGCGTGGAAATCGATTTGTGGTGTTCACGCCCCGGAATCCGAGCGAGACAGAGGATGAATGCACGAGGTAATAGGATGTAGGATTAACCTCTGGAAGAAGGATTGCTTCTTCCTTTCTATCCTCGGATTACTCGTTCCTTGCGGAATGTTCAGTTTCTCTTCCGTTCGCGAGCAACCCTCTCTTAATGCAAATATTATACCTTACTCTTAAAGTTTAACAGCTCGGATTACGTTGTAACGCTGAACCCTTGATACAAACACCGATAGAAACATTTTCTTTAAGGTTAGGTAATTCTTAAGGTAGCATTATCAAAAACTACGAAATAAGAAATTCTATGTTTTCTTCACAAGTAAATGTATATTGTTATATCCTGTTTATTTGAAATATTGAGGAAAGAGACAAAATGGCGGCACAAGAAAATGACACCACATTTCATACAGACATACTGTATGCATTATACTGGGGGTTTCAAAAATTTTGATTATCTACAGGCTATCTTTAACTTGCAAGCTTTATCTGTAATTGCAAGGTTAATCTTTACATCCAATTTTAACTGTAAGGTTAATCTTTACATCCAATTTTAACTGTAAGCTTTATCTTTATCTTCAAGCTTGACGTTTATCTTTATGTATAACATTAATTTTATATACAAAGCTACAAGGTTTATCTTTGTGTATAACCATAACTATAACCCTAGCTTTATCTTTAACCCTAGCTACAAGATTTATTTGTGACCGTAATTATAAGCCATATCTGTATCTATAACTTTAAATATTCCCAATAAGAGTCCACTTCCAGCTAACTTTGATACGTTTTTAGTTCCAGTAAGAACGACTGGACAAATACTTCTGGGAGAAGTTGATATCGCAGCTGAAGAAGATAACGCTGGCGAGATAACTACAGAAGAGTCGTTTCCCAAAAAATGCGTCGTCGATGGAAACAGTTATTCTCACAGCCAAACGGTGAGTAAATATTCAAAACTGTTTTCAATTCTTTTTGTAATAGACTTTTCGTTATATCGCCACTTCTCTTAAACTGGCAGGACCAAACCAGCAGAAAGCGGACTTAGTAAAATGTTTATTTTGGACTAATTTGTAATTTTGTACTTTATGCAATTTTAAAAAAAAAATCGTAAGTAGCTTATTGAGTTAGGAGCAAAATGTTAAAATTAATAAAAATGAATAAAACTGAAAAAGTTTTAGTTTTGAATTACTAGTAGTACTAGCATTGTACTATTAGTAATAGTATCATTAGTAGTACTAGTGGTCCTAGTAATACTAATTTATACCACTTAAATTAATACCAGTTTCTTCCATTTTACCCTGTAAACAACTCTTACCACTTCGAAATTATAATTTTTTTGTTACGGTAAATCGCATGCGGTACAAGTTCATCGTATTTCCTTGAAATAACAAATACGTGTTTATCACTGGAGGTGCATGATGAAAACGGGTCAATCAACACCTATTCATAACTCTGCACTGCAACGTGCTCCGTAGAGTTACTATATTCCGTGCAGACGTTCATAGCAATTTCGTCCTCTACAATTCTAAACAAATATAACCGTAAGAAACAAGTGAAAAAGTCACACTACTCGATTTCAGAAATATTTCACGTTCATCTTGTTCATTATTAACATTAGAACTAACAGTGTTAAGATCACACTTCTAAATTGAAAACCAAGTGAAAAAATAAATATGTACTAAGTCTACCAACATGTACTATTTTTTCAACAACAGACATTTGGAGGCTGTTTCACTTGCAAGAAGAGGCTATTTCACTTGTCTCATTTCGACAAAGACACGACAATAAAATTTTGTAACATAACATATGAAACTTGAAACCAGTCATGTTAACATGACATTGGAGACTATTTCACTTGTAAGAAATAAGGAGGCTACGCAACATGTCGGAAAAATAATGGAACTTTTTAAATTCAAGGAAAACCGCCATCTATTAAAACAATATGTTATCTGGAAACAGTCTCCTCTACAAAACACAACAATCATTATTGGAATCGAGCGAAAACTTATAGCGTTTAATGCGACAGAACCTTTCCGCACCGTGTCACAAAATCACGGGCAAGCGTAACAAATTGCTCGCGTTGAATATTGCGAGGATCTTATCAAAACAGCCAGACGAAACTGTACATTCCTGGAATCAATTGTAACTAGTGATGAGACTTGGTGCTTCAAGTATGAACCTCGAACAAAGCGCCAAAGTGCTACGTGGAAATCTCCAGGCTCTCCAAAATCAAAAAAATTGCGATTCCAGAAGTTCCTAGAGAAGACAATGTTAATTTGCTTTTACGATTCTAAAAGAATTATACTTCGGGAATTCGTTCCATAGGGACAAAATGTTAATGGCGAATATTATCTGGGTGTTATGGAAAATTTGTGGAAGAGGATCGTTCGTGTGAGGCCCGAATATCGAGCGTCGGGAAGTTGGTTTCTTTTGCATGATAACGCACCATGTCACAGAACTGTCGCTGTTCGTGAATTTTTGGCGAAAAACAAGTCTGTGTGCTTTAACATCTTCCAAATCCTGACTTATCTCCATGTAATTACTTCCTTTTTCCAAAACAGAAATTAGCTATAAGAGGAACCTTTTATAACGCTTACACAAGTCCAAGCAGCTGTGACAAGGGTGTTTGAAGCGATTCCGCAAAACGACATGAAAAAATCTATGTTAACGTTGTGTAAACGTGCTCAGCGGTGCATTGATGCGGAAGAGATGCATTTTGAATAAAAAAAATTAATTTCGGCAAAATAACTAATTCTTTTCTTTTTATTTAAAAAGTTCCGTCACTTTTCCGACATACTGTTTCACACTTATCTCAATGACAATTTCAACAAAAACACCACAACAAAATTTTGTAACTATAAAACTTAAAACCAGTCATTTTTACCGGTTTAGTGTTCTAATGTTAATCTCCCTCTGTATTCTACCCGACGAAGTATTCTTCGTTTCAGAACCTGTTGGGAGTTTGCAGGGTGCATTGACTTTGCTCGAAAATTCAATAATACGCGGACACAAAACGTTTCAAACATTCCACTATACGTAGCGAACTTTCCGTCTTGTTTACTGCTATCGTATTCAAGGCAGATGCCATTTAAAGTAATACAAACATAGATCCTGGACACAAACACGCATGAACGTTCCTATGTACATACAAACAGCATTATTATAACAGACCGAGAGCAGAGACGGTCAAATTGAATTTAAACCGTTTCATGTCAGACCCTCTTTGAAACAGTGATAACGCTATCACTTTGAGAGTGAGCGTCGTTTTATTGCTCCCATAAATTTTTCTGTCGGCTTTTAAGAACCTTCCGGAATGGTTAACTCCTTTTTTATATGTATATTACATTTGGTATGACTGGAAATATTAGGTTGTAAATGTCGACAATCTGTAAATTTATGGGGTATAATTTTTGGACATCTGGAAAATTTATTGCGTACGCTGAGATATGTGATGAGGAGTTTGATGGAAGGTATTTGGAAAATTGACACTTGGAAGTTGGCAGATACAAGATTGGAATTTTATAATTTTTCGGTGACTTAAAGCGTGAATCTTGCAAGATCTAGCGAGTACCAAGTTTGCAAATGTGTACTTTGTAAATATCAATCTTGTAAATAACAATGCAAGCACTAAATGTGTGAATATTATTCCTGTATCAACCTTACAAATACCAAACTTACAATAACCTTGCAATTCTCAATCTTACACGTAACAACCTTGCAATAACCAATATTACACTTGCAAATTTTGAAGTACCAAAGTTCTTAGTCCCCTTGCAAGTACTATCTGTCCAAGCGCCCCCTTTTCAAATTTGTAATTTGAGCTCTTCAAGATCCAGCTTCCTTAAATACCAACCTGGAGCTACTAATAAACTAACCTTTATAGAAATATTTATCTGTAGATTATCTCCTTCAGATATTTTAAAGTTATACTTTAATTCAGGTAAAGAAAAATTTTGAACATTTCATCTCACTTTAACTTGGACATAATATAATTCACATATTTTTTATATAATTTGATATACATTCAAATATATATATTTCAATAATTATCAACACAGACGTTATTTAAAAGTTATGAATTACGAAACAACGATCGAGGAATTAGAAACAGTGGTTTAATTTTGAAACTTCTGCTTCTTATTCCTGGCTTTAAACCTTTAATCAGCTTCTTTAAAATCGCATAAATTTCGTATAAATCTCGACTGCAGTTCAGTTAACTTTGAAAACGGCTAGGAAACTACTGGCTTCAAGTTTAAAAGTCATAGTTAACCGCTGAATTTTCATGGGATATAAATGCAATTTTCAACTTCATATTTCAGTTTTTAAAAAAGGGTGTTAGTTTCAATATCTCGTTTTCTAAAACATCAACTGCTCTCTTTAAAACTGTAATCTCTAAAACCGAGAATTTATTTCAAATTTGTAAAACTTAATCTTAATAATAAACATTTATATTAAATTGTCTAAAATGTAGCAAAGCTTTTTTCATGAAGTTACACAAATGACAGTGTAGAAAGAATTTCTTCTTTTTTTATCAACAGAGAATCAATTTAAAATGTCTCTGAAAAATTAAATACTGTGCATAATGTTACGTATCAACATTATGCATTGTATATCGTAAATATTTGACTGCAATACCTCAGACATCCATGAGGACAGCAACAATGGCTGTCGTCGCGACGCCGATGTCCAATTAACAGGTGGTGACATCTGTGAGGATCCATTGGAAGTTGATGCGTCTGGAATTTCGCTCTGAAATTAATTACACCGAATCCATCTAATTTTCCAATCTCTTCTCTCTCATCACATATTTGCTTTATTTTCCAATATTCCTTTCACTGTTTCTTTTTGTAGACTTCGACGCCTGGCATCAATATTATTAATTAATGCTGGATTTGGGGATAATTTTCTGTACATCGTAAATTACTGCGCAGCTACTGTAGATTTTGGACTTTTTATTGAACAAATAATGTATAATTTTTATACTGCAAATACACATATGTGATATATAGAGGCATACATAATATAAGCCAATCCTATGATCTATAACTATATAAATTATAGTTAACCTTGCAAATTTCACATTACAAGTTTGTCCTTAAACTAGTAAGTAGGCATTTGGAAGGTTCGAACTTGCAAGGTCGAAATTTGTGAAGTTAATACATACAGAATTGGTATTTTAAAGATCGATATTTGCAAGATTGGAACTTGCAATGTAGAGACCTGAAACTTTGGCAAGCACAGAATTCGAGGTCCATAGTTTGGCAAATAGAAAGTTGAGAGTTCGAAGTTTGCAACTAGAAGACTGACATTTGGAACAAGTAGAGTTCCTCGTATCTTTTCCCATTTCCATACGTGCTTAGCCTTTTCTTCTTAGAGATTCGCAAACTTTCTCTAAAATTCCACATCTCCGTCAAATTAGACATACACTTTATTACGTAATTCTTCTACACCAGAATACACTTTGCTTTTTAAATATTCCCACAAAAAAGAAGTTCAAAGCTTTAAAATTGGGTAGTCGGAGCAAATGGTCCACCATGTTCTACCTTTGACCGAACAAATTTCAAGTGTTCTTTCACATTACACAAAAAATAAGATGGAGTCACATCATGCGCGTACCACATCGATAATCTTTCTGCCAAAGGCATATCGTTCAAATACTGAAGTTATATTCGCCAAGAAATTGAGATAAACAGCACGTGAATACAGAATTGGGAATATTACACAGCCCATGAGATAATCTCTCATAATACTCATCCAAACATTTAACGAAAAACGGAGTTGGTGATGTGTTTGAATAAATATTCAGAATTATCCTCTGCCCATACGAGTTCATTATGGAAATTTGTAATTCCATTTCACGTAAATGCAGATTCATCGGTAAATAAAATGCACGATACGAAATTCGGATTCGAAGCACGTTTTACGAGTAGTCACTGTGAAAATCCTGTTCTTGTTTGATAGGCCGGTGGAGTGAGTACTTGCACTCGTTGGATATGGTATGGATAGGGTAACTACTCATGAACCGTTCTACGGACAAGAGTAATACCGACTTCTACGGCATCAAATATTCTTCTTACGTTTGCTCCGGGATTTTCTTCTACAATTTTTAAAACGCGATTCTTCGTCTCGTGCCTCGATGTAAATTTAAGTCCACCAGAGTTTCGACGGCGAGTTCTAACGAGCTTCATTCATAAAGACGTTGCTGAAGATTTTGAAACTTCGTATGTGGGGAAACTCTTCGATGAGGAAACTTTTCCATCTAAAGACGTGCAGCTAAAGTACTTCCATTAACACGACCATACATGCATACATACTGCTATTTCTTCATTGGATGCGCTGACATTTTCAGCACGATACTTTGTCACTGTGCGATACTAAATAGAGGTTGAGTACAACTGACAGATTGCCGATGAAATCGTCATGAAGTGAGGAAACTGAATGTGGACATTCAAAACGCGGTTTATAGACACTAAAGTATATGTCGATGAAATATTCCCTCATGAAGTATGTATGGAAACAGAGTAAGGCCATTCGGAACTCGGTTTATAGACATTCGAGTAAAAATCACATTCGATGATAGAAGCCAGTAAATAATTTATAATGCACACATACATGTTTGCCTCGGGAGCTTCCAATGTTTACTAAGACTTGTAATTTTTAATATCCACATTGAATCTGCTGGCGTTTCAAAGATTTCAAGATCTACAGTTTATCTTGGTTATAAACTTTATGTTGGTTATAAACTTTAGCTTTGTCAATCGACCTTTGCTATTTCATCTACTATCACTCTTCAACCACTACCACTTTGCGTTATCAATACAGTTATTATATCATATAAATATTGAGTGGTTCCTTCGGAACATCCTGTACATCATTCATTAAAATGAGACGTATTTAAATTCTCACTGATTAGGGCTATTTATCCTTGCTGATCAAAGATCATAACAGCAGAAATATGTACGCGAAAATTTTGTATTTCCGTTCCAGATACCATCGTACGACTTGAACTCCCATTGTCTCTGCGTAGTCGGTGAAGTATATTGTTGGTGGCAGAATTACAATCCGAGCACCGGTACTTCTGTCGACGTCTCGTTCCTCCCGTCGACGACGATAGAAAGTAATTACACGCCGTCGCTGGAGGGCAACACGAATGCCGTCGACAGTTTGGAAGCTTCCGGTGATCCGGTAGAGGAGCCATCCGTCGAGCAGCAGGGATACGCGGAGATTAACGCGAGCTACTCGACTACATCGCAAACTGCGCCGACCACGTGTCTCGTGATGGGTAATAGATCAGTCTCACTTCGTTCCGCTTGATTCTTTCAGTGGTACGAGTACTGTCGAGCCATCGATTTTCTGTTGAATGAGAGTTACAGATGCAATTAGTTTCGAGTTGCGAGTCAAGCTTTCCGATACGAAACGGAAATGTTAACAGAATATTCGATAATTATCTTGCCTTCGCAAACCTTCTATCTTCAGCGATAGACATGTTCGTGCATGATGTGTATAAATAACAAAACTGAAACATCGTCGGTTATACCGAATTATTAACTCGGTTTCGTATCAAGTACACCCACGGTGAATCTATCCAAACGTGTTTAACTTCAAATATATCCGTGATATTTTTATATTACCTATTTAAAAATTTTCCTTAGAAATCGCTTTTGAATGCCGGTAGATGGCTTGTAAATATAATTGAGCAAGAAACTCATCCTGGCCAGATAAGGGTTCGAACTTTAATGAGACGTTGGATTGAACAGTAAATTCATCTTGCAGGAAGAGAATACCGGGAGGGCGAGGTGCTTCCTCACTCGACCGGAAATTGCATCGAGTGCAGCTGTGGATCCGAGGGCCGTGTCGAGTGTTCGCCACGCGACTGTGTGGCCCTTCGACCTGAGATACCAGTTTCACCGGATATACCCAACGCACCAGACGGCGATTTTGAAGTGTTCAATCTTGCCAGGGACCGGGGCATCGACGAGAGCTTCTAAGGAATCCGATAATAACGATCGTCACCTGTTCGATGCATTCCTCAGACACGTTTCACGCCGCATCTCGGCTTCGGCTTAATCACGATCCTCGTCGAGGTTCTTCTTTTCTATTTTCATTTTCTCGATAACAGCTTGTTGATCGATATAATATTGCTCCTTAATTCAACGATGAATTAAGTTTAATCGTTCTTTGACAATACTGGGTGTCCATAAATCTATACCATTTAGCTACTGTAAATACAGAAATATTTTAAATGTTCGCAATTTTATTGAATATATCAGTTCAAGGTCATTTTTGAAATACTTGCAATGAATGATACAATAATGTAATGAATTATACAAAATTTATACAAGTTTTATTTATAAGTAGCATATACATACACTAAGTCACAGCTATTCTTATAATCTAGATTTTTACATTATTTGTACATTATTTCTACATTATTTATACATTTCTTAACAGTAACATCATATTTCAGTTCAAATGTAATAAAAGAACAATAGTCTACTTACTTTGTTTGCAGGTTATGTTCAGAACACCATTTTGTTTAACACTGCAACATCAACTCATGATCACTATTCAAACACAATATGTTTGAGCAAAAAATATTTATTTATCAGCTTATAAACATTTTACAACTCTTTTTACAAGTCCATATTTCTGCTTTGCATAATTATAGTTCAACGTTATAATATTTTTTGATAGTTATTTCAAATGGCAGAAATTTATTGACACCTTGTATAAAATTCACAAAAGGGTAAATACAATATAGCTTTAAAATGAAAATGTGATCTATTTTGGGAATGTACTTTTGAATCTGTATATTTTTGTACAGTTATTTGTGCAATAATTTTGTCAGTCTTATTTGTAGTTTAAGATGTAAGCATTTAACGAAATATCAACCAAAGAGACTGTAGAAATTTATTTTCTTGATGTAATAATAATTTTAAAGAACGTCGCAATACGTTGACAACGAAGACAATGGCCATTTCAGTAAATTGTGTGATATATTTAATATTAGTATTAATTTCAAGGGAAGCAGTGAGATTACATTTAAATATAGTTTATTTTATTTCGTGTAAGAGTAATGGAGATGTTATACAAACTAATTTTAAGAAAAGCGTCAATATATTAATTGTAACTAACTAAAGCATAGATTAGGATAGAATATAATTTCAAATACAATTACCTTTATGTCGATCAACAAGGCATCAATACTTTTAGGCTCTGATAGTTTTCTATGATACTGTTCAATCGTACTTATATAGTTTTTATTCTTCTTTAAAGATTTAAACCTTCTCCCATTTATTTGAAACACTAACAACATTCTTTTGGAAAAATGTAAAGAGCCCTTGAACAATTTCTTTCCGTGTATTTTTAAAAAAGTATAAGAAAAACAAGCACATTTTACCTACAATACACGTGATGTATATTAAGACGATAATTAGAGATAATAAAAATTTGTTTAATGCCTTGACTGCCATGGGGGTCACCAATAATTGGCATTGCAAGTTTAGTTTAGTCAAATAATTAAAGGAGGAACATTCTAAATACCACTAAACATACAAAATATAATAAATAAAATGCTTAATATTCTAAATAATCTATATCATTGTAAATCATGCTTGATTATTATTACTATGGCAGTCAATGTGTTAAATCAGTTTGCATTGAGTTTAGTGGTTGTTTAGTGAGATTGATAGGAAGCCACTGAAAATTAGAACGCTCTTTCAAGATGTACGAGCAGACTGTAATTTATTACCCTCGAGATTTGTAGAGGTTTTGGAGCCATGGGACTAATTCATCAAGCGATGGATGCTGGAAACAATCAATCTCTATATATTCTAATTATATAGTTCATTTATTAATTCTGTTGGAAGTAGATTAATATTAAATACTCATTTTTATTTGTTCATTTCTAGCAAAAGAATTTCATGAAAATTTATTGGATAATGCAAACTGTTATAAACTTCACAGAAGTTTTTTGCATTTAAAAAAGTACCTTTCATATTGCATATCATTTTAAGGTCTGACCTCTTAAAGTGGGAACAGATAAGAGAAAATCTACTGTATTTAAAATCAGAAGATCTTTCCAATTGGCAATAAGCTAAGTTATACAAAACTGAATAGAAGATGAGAAATAAAAGACAATCAAACTTTTTAACTCTTGGAAGATGGATGCTCTGAGACTGACAGAATGAAGGGACACAGGGTCATTATGATCTATAAGTGAAACATCATATGCATTTTTAAAAGTAGAATTGTATGCAAAATTAAAAATATATTTTGAAGTGTAAATATTATATATGTACACAAGAAACATGTAAACAAATGCTTACATATGTATGTTACATTTAAGAACATTTGATACAGAGAACAGTTTTATTTTTTATGTAAGCTTTACAAATAAATTTTCTACATTTTACATATTTTAGCTGGATCAAAATGACTCTACATCCATTATGAAAGGGTTAAATTGATGATTTCTCTATTATTAATAAATTTATGTATAGAAATTGACAATTAGTGTCTCTATGTCTCTTTTAAGTTTCCTTTAATAACAAGTTAAGGAAATAATTCAAATGATTGAATATTTCTAGCAACCATCGTAAGTCATTAGTTCTTTCGTCTACCAAACATTATTCTGTATACATTTCGGGGAGTACTACAATAAGATACAACAGTAAATGAATAAATTTGTAGACATCGGCCTATAACGTACGAATTAATAATTTGGGTACGGAGAAAACTGATCTACGAATCGGAACAGAATCAACTGTACCCGCCTAAGAGCAACCACATTATGGAGCTTGATAGTATTCAATTTTATGTAAGATATTAAATACACTGTTAGTTAAAAGTATAAGAGTACCTTCTAACTCTAATTTAAACTTTTAACTTCAATTTAATTGTAATTTGAATTGAATTTGAATTGAATTCAAAATTTTGAAGATGATGAAAATACTCTGTGGATTTCTATCTTTATTTACAAAACAATTGATATTTAAACAATTCAACTCTATATTTTTATTAATAAGTAATCCTATACTTTTAACTAATAATATAATATTCATGTCACCATATCCTTTATCATCTTCTAGTCGAGACTTAGTCATATCCTGTTCATAATCATCTCGCTTGACCTCCTATGGGTCGAGTAAATATCAGATTTTTTGTACTTTAATGAAAAACAAACTGTACGAGATGTTCGTGAAGTTTGTGGATGTGTTTAGCATCGTGTAATAAAAACAAAATTGTTTCAGACAAGTATTAATTATCTTGTAATAAAACTATTGCAAAATTATTGAGGCCCTTAATCATAATATTCTCAATTGTATACTATACAAATAAGTAACCAAAAATTAACTTATTTATATTCAAAATTATAAAGAGAATGTATACGAATATTGTAACAACTACTGTAGTAGCCTAAAACATTCCAAAATTTATTTAACACGTATACTTTGCAGGTCCAAACTGTCATTTTAAAATGAGTACAATATTATTCTAGATATCTGAAGAATGGACTCAAATTTATGTATGTTAATGGTGTCAAGTTCATATTAATGGAGAAAATGTGATTAATTAAAAAATAATAAGGGTTCAAAAAAGAAATTACATCTCTCAAATAGAAACTACAAAATCTATTAATATGTTGACTGCCATGGTGGTCATCAGCAACCACAGATTAAACATAATTATCTAAATAATTACGAAAAATAAAAACAAAGGTTATTCTAATTACTACATTAACAATGTATGATAAGAAATTGAAAGTTTAAATTTAAAAAGTCAGTAAATATGATTAATAATTATTAACTTAATTCTAATGTATCTTACTGTAATATTCATCCATTTTTACTGTGGCAGTTAACAGCGTTAATAAATTTCAAACTACATTGTCTACTCTGAGCTAATTATACTTTCTAATCAATCTACGTTATATATTTTCGTTTAGATTAAATACCAAATTTTAAACAGGTGCTATTGTTGTTTCTTTTCATGAACCACTTGAGGTTTTCAACCACCTAATATAATCAGACATGTGTTTCTGCATCCATTTCACCTAAGTTTGAACCTCTTAGACGACGAATTTATGTTTCTTCTGCGCATGTTGCCTCTGATTGGTTCAATAAGATCCATAATCATAAGTGTAGCACATGCGCCTTTATTATAGTTGTGATGGCGAATTTGTGTACTAGTAGTGTTTCATTTTATACATTTAAAGTGCAATACAGATTTCCCTTGAATAAGCATAAGTGTAAAACTAGTTAAAAAATAGTTAAAAACTCGAAATTTTCAAATTACTGTATTCTCCACTTTCTAAGTTTCTAAATTTTCAAATTTCCGTATTCATAAATTCTAAGATTTCTAAATTTTCATATTCCCAAATTTCTAAATCCCGCAATTTCTATATCAACAATTTGAAAATTTACTAATCAAGAATTAGCACTGGTGGAATATTTTTCCTTTATTATTTCTCATACTAATTTGTTCATGCAAAGTGTAATTGTTATTATCTTCTGATCTTGCTGTTCATATTTATTGTTCACCGCATATATAAGGTGACGGTTAAACAAACTTCATGGAAGATTTTTGAATTGTGTCGAACTGCGCAAAAGAGGTCCGATTCGAGATGAAATACCGTGTAACCTCTAACTACAGTTGGTTAGGTGTTCGTGTTCTTTTAAGAAATAAAGGATAGACAAAGAAATAGTTACATGAAGATTGGGAAAGTGAAAATTTGTTGAAAATATGGAAAGTGAAGGAAAAGATGATTCAGTGACATCAACAAGTTGCAGTGATGGTAAGATGTCATAAATATATAATAGTAGAAATAAAGTGTGATAAAAATTCATAAAAAACATTTACGAGTATTGCAAAAAACATTTGTATGTTCAATTATCTTTTTTCATACATTCAACTTTTAAATGGACTATATAAATTTGGTCCTAATTCTTTCATTTAATAATTATATTATCTTAAAATATGTTAAGTAGTGTTAAGTTTCAACAAGTTTTTTGTATCAGTTTAAATTAGCTCTATAAATTGCATCAAAGTTGCAATTTTTGTTCTTGTTATAAAAACAGAAAATGTTTTAAATTGCTTATTGAAAATTATGTTTTCTGTGGATTATTAATTTGCATAATTTCAAAGTTGCTAAAAAAAAAAACAAGTTTGAGTCTGAAGTATTTATATTCAATATTTCAAATTAATGTTCTGTCAATGTAAAAATAAGAAAACTAACCGAACATTTCGTACATATGCATTATATCACGAATAAAATATTATAAAATAATATCAAAGTTTTGAGAGAATGAATAGTGTAGTTCACCTTGAAGTAAGAATAACATAGCGAGTGTCAAAGTTAACTCAAAAATAACTTTTCCTAATAATCCATGCGCAGATTGATCATTATAATATGTATCAGAATCATATTATTAGGCTACAAATGTTTATACATTTATAATATATCAAGTTCTACAGAGTATATGTCTGCAAAATATAAAGATTGATAGGCTATAGATTACATGATGTATGTATATTTCATGAGCTTCGATATACTAGAAATGTATAAACATCCATAGTCTACATATTACAAAGCAAAGAATTTACCATAGACGCTTCTCCTGGATACAAGAGAGGTAAATGTTTAACGAATTGACTGTCATGGTGGTCATTAGTGAGTAGCATCATAAACTTGATATAATGAAACAGCGTGCTATATAATCAATTTCACTGTGGCAGTCATATTAATTAAAGAATTAGTAGTATACCTCAATGCCTAAATTTGAACTTGAATAATACTCTAATTTAGTGATGAGCAACCTTTCTTGCAGTGGACTAAAATTGAAAACTAAATGATTCATATAAATTGCTAGAATAACAATCTTGAGAAACCTAATTAATTTGAAAATGGTTGAATTCTTCTGTGCAGTCTTTAATCTTTAACAGAAATAATGATAACTAATATACATTCTCTTATAAAAGCTGCATTTAATTTTAAAATCAGAAGTTTTTGTTCGATTTTGAATAGGAAAAACTTGACAACAGAGGAATGCAGATAATACACATACAAATAAATAGATATATTTTGATAAAAAGAAAGAATGTACAGTCAAAAATATTTAACTAGGTTGCTCATCGCTAGTTTAACCCATATGTATGTGTGTCCCTATTAAAAAACAGAGACAAGGAAATCCTACATTATATGGATCAATATGCACAATATAATTAATACATATATATTATACATACATACTGATATTATATTCATATATACCTATATATACATATACACATTACACAAGGAACCAAATATCAAGAGATAATATTGTACGTATTTAAGCATATGATATACATATAAATTATATCTAGGAGTAGGATTCTAAAAGGTTTTCGACTTGTTATGCACTTTTTGTAGATACACAGTAACAATTTACCTCCTTATTCTGTATATTGCAGTGTTGGTAATACAGGGCATGATTTTAAGGTAAAATATTTAATTGGTTGTATAGCTTTTGTTATCTTCCTAATGTAATGTAATTGAAAGATAGATAGGCCATTCATTGGAATTGTAGGTATTGTCTGCAATTGTGTTTATGCATTTAATATATTGACTATGTTACACATAAATGAGTGATGCTTAAATTTCCATAGTAATCCATCACTCACATTATTAAGAATTTTTGTACTTTCTTAATTACAAGTATTTGTATTAAATATTTAAATTTATGGATAGATATAATGAAATGTGAAAATAATAAATAAGATTTGTTAACAATAGAAATATTATCTAATGCAATTTTTTATGCAAGTTTTCATTATTTTTAATTATTATAAATTGATATATTAACAAAACCAGATTTTTGTGTTCAAGAATGATCCATCTATCTTTGAATGCAATACCAATAAAAAGTGTTTATTCAAACTTAAATATGAATGAACATTAATTTATAGTAACACCATTTATAATATATTGCGACTATTTAAATCAAGCATGAGGAAAAAGAAAAATTATAATTATACTTTTACGACGACGAGTTAATTGTTTATAGTTAGATGCATAGTTAGGTAGAGATCTAATGTGATAAAGGTAACTTTGTCTAAAAGTTTTACAATTCATAAGGAAAAATACGATCCTATCGCAAGAATACTGTAAACTTGTATGAACGCTTATTTAATTAGGAAATACACTACGAAGAAAATCGAACAGTGTTTGATGCTGCAACAATTAAATTTATTATCATACGATTTTAATTGTACGTTTTGTTAATCCTACGAAGTCTGTCCGAAAAATGATCACATTTTCGTAATAAAAATTTAACCCTTTTTATTACAATTATATAATAGGATTTTGATATTTTTGTTTTTCTAACGATTTCTCGAATCATTAAATGACTTTCGCTAACCACAATACAGATTATTTCTCCATCGAGATTATTTATCGTGGTTAGTAGACCCGCAAGACGAGAATTATAGTTAATTCAGTTGTTTTCGAATTGTTTGAACGAGGGATGGTATTAGGGCAATTTTTTGAAGCAATAAAATTTTAATCATGAATGTAAGAATAAAAGGGGTTTAGGTCATCGGTAAGTTTGTTAAGGGCGGGAAATTTAAATGAAAATGTACTTGAATATGTGTACACTGTAAATACAAAAATTTCAATAAATGTATGTAATTAATTTAATAAGTATCACATTGAAATTGTTGACTTTATAAAAATATACAGTAAAATAAGCCCAACCTACCCTAAACGAATTGATATTTGAAATAATTTCTGTTTGTTGTAATAAATAAATATTTATACTAATATAAATAAATAAATGTTTATATTAATTTAAATAAATATTTATATTAATTTAAATAAATAAATATTTATTATTTAAATAAGTAATTTAAAATAGAATTAAGTATAGTGATAAAGTAAAATATTTTAGAAAAAATAATAGCATTATTAAGAAAAATTGTTATAGCGCAGTTAAACTTTTTAATTAATTTATTCATTGTTTTAGAGGTTCGGTTATTTTTTGGACAAACTTCGTATATCTATGCTAGAATTACTTTTAACAATAATTGAAATTGGAAACCAAATGAACTCAAATGTCACGACCACTGTAAAGTAGCGCTCAACGCTATTTTTTAATTATATTATTTTTTAATGGAATTATAGACAATCTAGGTGTTGTCGTTTTGTATAGAAAACAGAATCCCGACGAATTATATAGTTTCAGACATGAAATTGTACGAAAACAGAATGATAAGTGGGATCATCACGGGATCACGCGGGACCATCATGGCAATTCGTCTTTTCGTTATGTTTACATTTGCGTATTTAAACTCGTACGTCTTCCAGTCATCCCACACATTGTGTCTGTCTTGTACCCGTGGGATCTCTTGTCTTCTTAAAAAGGGTTGTATGCTAAATAAAGAAGAATCTTACGATACGTCTAGATCTCTTTATTCTTCCATATTTTATTTATAAATTTACGTTATTACAATCTTAGAATAACCAACAAATTTAATCCTTCGAACACTTTCAAATCCGGATGTGTAATATTAGTCATAGGGTTCATTAACATTTTACAAGCATATTTGATACCTATCTATCTTTTGTCCTATATATTTGAAATTATTTTTTTCTATATATTCAAAATAAATTTACTTACAATTAGTCATTTTTATTTTATCTTATGTAAGAGATAAAAAAATAATCCAGGGATTACTTTTATCTTATACTATTTATTCTTATAAATTACATTGTATGAGTGATCACAGTAATAAATAAGACTAATGACATTATCAAAAATTATTTACAAAGCTTAATTAAAAGGAGATTAAAAATGATCATAAATCATGGATAGGATTCAGTATCTACAGTAGTATCACATTGAACTACCTTGACACTGTTATTATGTTAATCATATTAACAGCTGCAAGATAATTCTAATATAAAACTGATATGAAAGTTCCGTTAGTGACAAATGTCTGCGTAATATGATAAGTAGTTAATGGATTAGATTTGTCACAATTCCGGTGGTATAAAGGAAGTGGCAAACCATTAGACATGCGAATGAATTATTTGAAAATTATTTCAAAGCTATCTGTTGAACAGTGCAAATCAGAGAAGTCATGGAAATAAAACCTGCGGAAGCAAAACCATTCACTAGTTTGAAAGAACTGTATGATAATGTGGGTAATTTGAAGAAATGGCCACAAATTAAGGACCTAAGAGAATCAACTGATTATGTCTATCAAGGTTTTGAAATAAGTGCACAAGCATTAAATTTAACTAAGGTGGATAGGCAGGAACAACCGAGAACATTACTGTGCCATGATATGAAAGGTGGTTACTTAGAAGACAGGTAATATTTAGTAAAATTATTGAGTTTAATGTAAAACTAGAAATATTATACATCATCAAATAACTCTTTCAGATTTATAGATGGGTCTGAGTCTTATAATTCTTATTTGTTTTATCACTGGAGTGTTATAGACACATTTGTATATTTTAGTCATTACTTTATAACTATACCACCTTTTGGATGGATTAATGCAGCACACAATCATGGTGTAAAAATTCTTGGTACCGTAATCACAGAAAAAGAAGGTATTTGGGATGTAATACTTGTGTCTCAAGAGGAAACAAGAAGGTTTGCAGATGCTCTAATTGTCATTGCAAAGTTTTATAAGTTTGATGGCTGGTTGTTAAATGTTGAGAATACAATTAAAAGTGAGCAGATTAATAATCTAATTTATTTCGTGAAATATCTAACAGAAAATATTCATGAAGCGGTCAGAGATTCTGAAATTATCTGGTATGACAGTGTAACCAATGAAGGAAAGTTAAGTTGGCAAAATGAACTTAACAATCAAAATGTGTAAGATTATTTAATTACATATTCGTAATTAATCTTTTCTAAGATTCCATATTAATCTCTTCTATAATATTTCAGTGAATTCTTTTTAAATTGTGATGGAATTTATCTGAATTATAATTGGACAAAGTCTAAGTTGCAAAACAGTTATGCACTTGCTAAGAATTATAACAGGAATGTGTATGATATCTATGTGGGTTTGGATGTGTGGGGCAGGGGTTGTCCAGGTGGTGGAGGTTTTAACTCAGCATATGTAATTATAACAGTTTACTTTCACATACTTTTTAAAACGAAAAGTAATTTACTATTTAGCAATGATGTGATTATAGGCTTTAGAAAAGATAAGACAAGAGAGACTTTCAGTTGCCATTTTTGCACAAGGTTGGACTTATGAATTTTTTGGTCCCACAACATTCCTGGAGTTAGAAAATTTATTTTGGGCACAATTATTTCCTTATCTGTATGTACATGTACCCATATATGAAGGTGAAATATTTAAATCATCATTCTGTCATGGAAGAGGTAGCTCGTATTACCGCTGTGGTGAGGTAAATATTTATAAATATTACATCAAACATACTCCCTAAGCAATGATATGGATCTCATACAACACTTCTACAGGTACAATTGAACATGCATTTAATACAGGACCAGATGAAAACATTTGGAGAGAAACCATTCTATAATTTATCTCTACAGATGCCTCAGATTTCCGTACCGGTACCGCATTTAAAATTTACAGTATTTCCCCAACTTCCAGAGCCAAAAAGTGAAAATGATAGAAATGAGTGTCCAAAAATATCTGAAGAATATGTATATGAAACTAAATATAATATTATTCGTGTATTTAAACAAACTGCAAATATTGAAAACAAAATCCCTATATCAGATGTAAATTGCTTTGAATTTTGTAATGAATTTTCTTTTGAGGGAGGTAGTTGCCTAAAATTAATTACAAACAACTCTGGATTGTATCATCGGTAAGAATCATATGTTGTGATACAAATTTCAGTGTATATATAAAATGTTTTGATTTCTCTTTTTTTTTTTTTTAAAGATTATTTTTGGTTCACATCGAATTTGAACAATACATCGAAGCAATTATCGTGTACAAGGAAATGGAATCACCAACAAGGATGGATATCCGTAGTGAACCAATACTAATTTTAGGCAACGACAGTGGGTTGAAATCGATTATGTGCTTCACATCAGAGAACATAAATTCTAAATGGAAAAAATGGTGAGTTTTCAAAAACGTTAATGATGTGCAAATTAATTAAAATTTAAAAAATTGAAAATTATTTTACTATATTAAATTTTGCTTTAATTGCATCAGATACCTTATTGTCATTTTAATAAAAATTTCTTCAAATGTGCAAATTTTTTGTAATATTAATATCATAACTAATACTAATATTTTAATCTGATTGTAACATTTTCTTTTGCAGCACGTATCTTACAAACATGAAGACGGTAAACGAGATCGGTGTATCCTTTTCCTGGAAGAACGTCTGCTATCTAGGGGAAATTATCCTACAACAAAAACAACGCCACACGAGCGGTAAGTCTGTTCTCCATAGTTTATAGCTTACACTGTCGCTTACATTCCACACTTCGAAAAAGTGCATGTACAGGTGGATTGCATGATAATAATAGCATATCGTTAACCAGGTTCCCAAACGTTTAAAAAGCAGTTCCTCAGCGATTGCCAATTACATGTTCGTTCGCGCAATCGATTGAGAACCGCTTTAGTGAAAGGAATACCAATGTTTCGCGATAGAACACCTATCTAACATAACTTATCGCTCGATATTTTACGGATTCGAATCGCAAGTATACGATAAAGCCATTTCTCATTGGCGAGAACCCCATATCATTAGCTCAGGAACGTGCAGTCAATTCTTTCTTTTCTTATTCTTTTCGGCATTCACCTGCGATGTAGAACTCACGTGTTACCTGACTCGAAACTTGTTATTTCTCACGATACAAGGGTGTCGGCATTCCGTAGTAGTAATTTGTTTGATGGAAGGACGAAAAATATGTACGTGTGAGCACTTTTACACGTAGAATGAAGGAGACCGTGCAAAGGAGGTCGCGACATCATAACTTCGATCACTGTTTTTTTATATGCCACTCGCATTTCCCATCGAATATGTATAACTTCAGTTCATTGTTTTAATTATTTCGCACATTGCAAATTTAAATATTTGTAGATTGTTTAAGGGAGTGTATTTGGGAGGAGAAAAGGTGCCAGAAACTTCCTTTTTAAAAAATTGTTTCTCTTTAATAAATGTTCTCTTAATGGTACAAATTTTAGATTTAAAAATTTTTAGTAATTTTTTTATTTAAACATAATGAAAGGTATAGAAGATATTGAGAAGTCGTTTTTAGGATACATTTTATGGAATACTGATTATTGAAAATAAAAAATTTGAAAATTATTAAATAATATATTAAAGTCAGATGTGACTAGAAGGATTTGAGACAAAAATTTTTATATATGTATTCAAATTTTTTATGCTACTAAACACTGTATTAAATTAACCAAATTGTATTAAAATTTCACCAAAAATTAATTTAGCACAACTAAAACCAATTTGACACAAACATTAATATAATCTATTGTCACAGTTTTCTTAGTGATATATTATTCTACAAATCATGATAACAAAAGCAATGCAAATAAATTTATTTTATTTTTATAAAATATGGGCACTCTCTATGTATACTGGAAACGCGGGTATAGGAATTTCACTTGTTAGAGGTGTGACTATGGTTACCGTTAACGATAAATAACCGTAGTATCGGTATGTTATCAATAACTTGATATTTCGATAATATCGTTAAGATATCGCTAAGGTAAATAAAGTAGTAATGGAAATAGAGTGTAACGCGCAATAAAATGACTTAAATGTATCTCTGTTGGAATTCGTTACGTACAGCACAAGTTCCGGTTGTATTTCGCTATTTTATCGCATTTATAATTCCTAAATTTTTAAATGATTAATTTATCAATTTCCAAATTTCTAAACTCCCAAATTCCTAAATTCCTAAATTTCATTTTCACAAAAATATAAATGTAGGTAACACAATGCGGTTTTAGGTTAAGTCACACCGTGAACCGGCATCCGAAATTACGTTCACCCGTGTCGCAATATCGACGACTATTTGTAACCGAAGTATACGATCGGCTCATTGATATTCTTGCGGTTATCGGGTCAAATTTTTCTGCCGTTCTACCTGCCGTTACACTTTGCATCATAACACTTCTTTCTTTCCTTTTTTTTTCTTTTTCTTTCTCGACATCGTTTCAGCCGTCAGTACACGCCTGCCTTCGCGCGCGTTACTTGACCGCTTTTAATTTACATGTAACCTTTTCAAGCGCATTGTTCTGCTACTTTCCGCCTGCACACGTGGCCGTAAACACTCTTACGTGTTTTAACGAAGAACCTTTCAAAATAATTGAACGTCCTGTCACGTCCTTTTTAAATCCGTTATTCAATTTTCTTTCATCTTTTTGTTCGAGTGACTTCGTTTTTATCGCGATGTATATAAACGGTCAATTTTTGTACCTTCAATTGTAACTCGAGAAGAAGTAAATGTTAGGTTGTCAGTTTAAGGTTATGTCACTTTTTATTGCTTAGGAATATCTTCGTTTAATATGTGTCAGTTTTTAACATGAATTGATGACATAAAAGTATTTCAAAATGGCACTTGTAGCACATCAATTTGAAGCTCAGAAGCTGACGAAAGTGGATGTATAACCATTTTATTAATATTCTTAGTACAAAATGGACGATGTTAGAACAAAGAATAAATAATACAAAGTTTGACATGGATGAATGACATAAAATATCACAGTAGAACTTGTGACAGGTCAATTTGAAGTTTAAAAGTTAATAAGAACAACTACGTGAACGTTTCATTAATATTCTTAATACAATATGGTGGGATCATTTATAATAGATGACAGAATTATATTACCTACTATATGTCAAATAGTTAATTTTGAAATATGTATAAGAAGTATAATATGATTTCATGACATAAAACTATTGAAAAATGATATTTATGACATACCAATTTGAACTTAAGAGTTAATAAAAATGACTACGTAAATATTTAGTAATATTATTAATACAATAATATTTTAATAAAAAAATTAATTTTAAAGTATATGTAGAAAGGTTTATGTAATTTTATGATATAGCAAATGACACTTATGGCATACTATCAATTTAAAGTTTGAAGGAGAATAAATGTGTGTAAATGTTTCATTAATATTATTAACAGAAAGTAACAAGCTTTTTGTCAGTTGCAATTTATTGGACTTTACAATTTGTTACATTGCAAAATATCAGTGAAGTAATATTTTGTTTTTGAGCACCTGGTATATCAAGGAAAAGTATGATGTTACACCTTATAGTTATGTTATTTATAGTAGCAATGAGTAAATAAACTTGTTAGGTGTGGTACATGGGTGCAACTGGAATGTAGTGGGCACTGGTGGGCCATTAATTTTCTAGTGCAAAAATGAATAAATTTGACATTTATTCTTTAATCTAAAAATGCACAATTTCACTATTTCTAAAGTTTGTAAATTTTCTACTTTTAAAAAATCATATTTGCCAATTGTTAAACTTGGAACTTTAATATTTTTACATACCTATATTTTCAAACTTAAAATATTCAAGTTTGAATATTTGAGGACTTAAAGATTTAATCACTTAAAAATGTATAGATTTGAAATGTGCACATTTTTAAATTGTGTGTATTTCCAAATTCACTGACTTGTAATTTTGAAAATTTCAATACTTTATATCTCTTTAATATTAATATTAATGTTAACTATTAAATCAAGGAAATTAATTTAATATTACATATTAAATATTAAATATACAAGTTCTAATTTCTAAATTTTCTATATTATCTTTCAAACTATGTAACTTTGAAAATTTGAAATCTTTCTAAACATTCAGAAAACACAAAAATAAAAAATTTTTCAATTTCTCCCAAATTGAATATCTGTTAATACACAGTCATAAAGCATTAACACCAGCAATTTGTATTTGACTACAACCACACGCAGTAAATAAAACCCAAACACTTATTTCAGTACTGTTATTAAACCTTACCCTACAAATTACCCTCGCAATCTCAATACTCTCGAATCTTTTACAAACATCTTTTTCGAACGGTTCTAAACGACTAGTGACACAAGATGTATACATAAAAACGACGTAATAGATTGTTGATCTCAGATGTTTCGAGAACATGTCGTGCCATTTCCATAGAATCTTCGGCATTTCATAGGACTAGCTTGTCCAAGAGGCAATAAGAGAGGAATGTTCATATTTACAAGATGAGATCAGAGTGTTTTCCTGCTCGACCAAGGCGATCTGGTCGTTTTACAAGACGCAGTGAGAGAAGAGAAGCCTCAAAGTAGAAAAGAGAACGAGACGCGGCTCGTGCCTCTCGAGCAAGGAAACGTTTTCAACGGGACAACGTCTCCTTCGTCTTCTGCATTCTATGCTGTTTCCTGCAAATAAACACAGCCGTCCTGTCGCGAAAGTAAAACGTGCCTGGTCACCGAGGTGATTGTCGCTTCGATTCGGAATCTTTCTTGCTTTATCCGAGTCGGTGAAATCACTCGAGAAATAGCTTTATGGTTAGTTAACTATTCAGGCTTGTAACATTGAAGGGTATGTCGCGGTCATTTGATATGTAAAGAGACAAATAGATGAATGTTAAAGTGTATACATGATACACAGAATTTATATAAGTTCTGTATAGGTTAGGTTTTTATGTGGGACTTGTGTATAGGTTAGGTTTCTGTATAGACAATATTAATATGTATTGTATACAGGTGTTTAATAGGTTAGGTTTCTGTACAGGACTTTTAGGTTCTTGTATGAGATTGGTATATAGGTTAGATTTCTATGTAGACAATATTGTATTAATTTTTATTGTATACAGATTCTTAATAAGTTAGGTTTTTATACAAAAGTTCTGTGTGAGTTAGCTTCCTTTACAAATTAAATTGCATTACTCTAGTTTGTATACAAGTGTTGTATAGGTTAGGTTTTTATATAGGAATACAAGTTAGGTTTCTATATAAATTAGTTTGCATTAATCTACATTCTATATAGGTTTTATACAGGTTAGGTTTCTGTATAAGCTTTAATTTCAGTATAGGTTAAATTAAATTCAATTGTACTTTGCATTTTAGGTTTTTTTGTATAAGTTGAATGTCAATATTATTTAAATATATGTATAGGTTAGGTTGCATTATTTTGTAGCTGATGTGTAGGGTAGATTTCTGTATAGGTTAGGTTCTGTACCACAATGAGATATAATAAAGTGGTTACATAATTATATAAATTGTTTCTAGGTTAGGTTGTATCATTATGTAACTTTTGTGTAGGTTAGGTTTCTATATAAGTTCAGTTTCAGTATAGGTTAGGTCACATTAAGGCAATGTACGTTGTTACATGAAATTTATTTAGGTTTATGCATAAGTATGATATAAACATGTATCATCCACTGATATACACTTGCATA